AGAAATTAATTTGGGAAGACATGTGAATACATTGCAAGAAGTATTTCAGCTCTTAAGAATAATCAAAAGAAGTATATTTGTCTTGAAATAAATATATTTACAAAAGAGCATATTAACTCACTACTCAAAAATAGGTTCACGGTTAATGAGTAACACCCAACAAGACACTTATTCTCTGGGATTTATTTTCAGCATTATCATGAAATGCTTGTTTTTGATGTCACAGGATTCTTATGAATGGTGCCCATCAATTTTTTTTCTTACTTATATGTTTCAATTCTTTAACTGAAAGTTACATTTTTTTATTGTGGATTTTGGATTGTTGAGAAAGATCTTTTTTTTTTTTAATTGATCATTTTATTGGGGGCTCTTACAGCTTTTATAACAATCCATACATCAATTGTATCAAGCATATTTGTACATACGTTGCCATCATTATTTGCTAAGCATTAACTTTCTGTTGCACCCTTGGTGTCAGCTCCTCTTTTTTCCCCTCCCTTCCCCCTCCCCCTGGTGATTCCTTGATAAATTATAAATTCTTATTGTTTTCATACATTACACTGTCTGCTGTCTCCCTTCACCCACGTTTCTGTTGTTCGTCCCCTTTGGAGGAAAGGGGTGGTTATGTGTCTATCATTGTGATCGGTGCGCCTTTCCTCCCCTTCTCTCCCCACCTTCCCCTACCCTCCTGGTACCACGACTCCCAGTCCTGTTCCTGGATTCTGTGTGTTGTGAGCTGTTCGCTCTTCTCCGTACTTGCGCACATGCTCCTGTCTAGCCCACAGTGAAAGGCAGGATTGAGCTCATGATAATGGGGGGTGTGGAAGCCTCAAGCTCAAGGTATAATCTAAGTTAGAAATGCAGTATGCAACTTTTAAGTGAAATAAACTTGTTCCTTTTTCAATATATTTTTCAACTTTAGTGGGTCATAGAAATAATATTAATGCATACATTTGACTTGGTAGCTTATTAAGCCAGTTATTTTTCTTGTCCTTTGAATCTCAATAATATGGTTTCTTTAGATTAAGAAAATAACTTATCTTAACATTACTTATAGAATTATTAATTATTTAAGAGAAAAGAACAAAGAACATTTGTTCATATGGAATTAGTTTCAGTAATTTTATTATTCTATTATGTTGTAGAAAATAAAACAGAGTTTAATAAGATCCAGGTGAAAATATCCCAAGATGCTTAGCATCCTTTCTTTCTTTTGTATTCCTAAAGTACTTAGAGCTCATATTGGGTAACTCTGCTTCTATATTCTTAAAATTTCCATTTCATTCTTTTAAAATTGGTATATTAAAGACAATGAAATATTAAATGTGCATCAGTAACATTAACTATTGTTAATATAAAATTCTTTTTATTTCCTTGGTTAGCATTATCTTAAAAGGAAAAAAAACCCATCCCATACTTTAAGATCTGTTTAAAATAAGCATCTCTTCAAAATGCCTCTATATAGTATTGTGACACTGAGTCAATTCTGAAATACATTGACCCTATTGGACAGAGTAGGTCTGCTCTGTGGGCTTTCCACGGCATCCGTCTTCACAGAAGCACACTGTCACATGTTCACAAATCATAGTGTCACATCTTTCTCCTGCAGAGCAGCTGGAGGGTTCAAACTGCTAACCCTTTAGTTAGCAATCCAGTGCTTAGCCCATTGCGCCACCAGTGATCCTGTTTGTACTGTATTAGCCCAAACCGAACCCATTTCCCTGGAGATGACTCTGACTTCACTCAGTGTCTTTAGAGACCAGAGTAGAACTGCTTCATAGATTTCCGAGGCTGGTCTTCCCTGAAGTTGCTGCTTCAGCTTTTGTCCATGGGGCAGCTGGGAGATTCTAACTGCCGACCTTTCAAGTAACCTACTGGGCCACCAGGGCTCCCATGTACCATATCTCACTGCCACCATGTCAGTGCAGCTCATAGCGACCCTACCCTCACACGGAAATACAAGTTCCTTCTTTACAACATAGTCCTAGAAATAAACGTGTGTTTCTATTATGCGACAGAAAAGTCTTCAGATTACTGCATATAGCATCAGAGAAGGGTGCTTTGTGAACCTAATGAATTGTCATTTTTTTCATTGCTAACATTTTAATGGAATACATAGCTTAATGTATAATTTCTTGTATAATTTTATTGGAATACAATGTTAATGGAGTACATAGTTTAATGAACGCTGTTTTAAATTGAGAGGTGCCAAAAACTTTGGCACAAAATTGGTGGCCAGAACTGTACCTTTAACATGCTATTTTCTTTCGTGAACACGTGATTTCCGGAGCGCTCCTGGTGGCCTTTTTCTTTTTGTTAACGCAGTCTGTTCCGTAAGGAGCCGCTCTGCTCCCCACACACGGTGTTGCCTTTAGTCAGAGTTGACTCAACTGGCAGTTAACAACAACAACAAACAGTCTGAGAGGACAATTCAATTCTTCTGGAAGCAGTCAGTGTGATTGATTGAATCCACCTGATATGTTCCTTGGCAAGTAGGTGCTTAGGGCGACAGGAAGGTTGAAGGGCCAGGACCAAGAGACAGTTGCTCCAGGGTCGGGGCAGAAGAAAGCGTGGAGGTCTCTGCTTAGACCGAGTGTGCAAAGAGCAGGCCTTTCCAAGAGCATGTGTACATCAGAGGTTCATCTGAGTTACCTGACATGCCTGGGGCTTTCTCTGCTCACTTTGGTCTAATTTATTCCTTCCATGAGGAATTGGGAATGAGAGAGATGGTGAAATGCTGTCTGAAGTGCAATGAAACAAACATTAATTTGTCCTTCACTGTTGTGTGTTTCAGAGACTGGAGCACAAGGAAGTGTTAGTGGGCTTGTTGTTCCTGGTTTTCCCGTTCATTCCAGCCAGCAATCTCTTCTTCAGGGTGGGTTTTGTGGTGGCCGAGAGAGTCCTTTACATGCCTAGGTAATTATTGCACATGATTTCCGCCTTCACCAGCCCTGCCCTCTGTCCCCAGCACCTGCAGTTCCAGAGAGACCGTCCTTGTGTGTGTGACGCTGCGTCCTTGGGGAGCTCAGGTGCTCATCACCTCAGCTTTAAAAACAGCCACACACGAGTGTAGAGTGTTTGCCTCCCGTTGAGAGCTTTACATTTCAATGTGAAATGCCAACTTGAGTATATTCAGGATTTCAGCAGCAATTGTTTACACAGTGTCTTTGTCCAGACATCTATGTTTGATTAATCATAATGACAGTAATGTTCTAGAAATATTTATTGACTTGCATGAGTTGCGTAACTATGTTAAGTAGCATGTCATTCACCTGCATCCATGCTTTGCTTCCTTCCTTCCGGTCTTTCCTTTTCGTCTCTCTTTTCTTCCACTTAAGAATGGGCAGCAGCTCCAAATGCTTATCCTTGAGGAAAACACGTTGAAAAATTATAAAGAATATTTAGATGTGAGTGATGACATAATGCCACCTCGCTCTGAATATGTGTATCTGGACTGTGCTGAAGCTTGTGTAATTCCATTGTCTTTTCCAATTGCCGCCATCCCAAGGCCATATTTCTCTTTAGATGCCTGGAAATGGCCCTGAATCAGAGAAAGCTTTTCATTCTGTCATTTATCAATTATGAGAAGACACAAAGCTTCCTTACACCCAGATTTTCTCATAAAAAATAATGAATCTATAAAAAAACCCTTAAATTATATGCATTTATGAATACATAGAAAAGATTGAATTTTTCTAAAAGGCAGTTTCATAAAACAAAATACTATATGGAAATCATTTTTATTAATGCTATTGAATTAGGAAATTTTAACAATCATGGAATTAGAAATTAGTTTTATAGTATGATTCTGCCCAAACCAAGCATTTGTCACTTTTTGTGAGACTCTGCTGTACCTTACTTTTAACTTGATTAAGAAGGTGGGGGGAACAAAACCAAACCCAATGCTATTGTCTGCAAGCTGATTCTGACTCATGACAACCTTAGATATGATTTCTGAGACTGTAAATCTTTATAAGAGCTGATCATCTCATTCTCCTGTGGAAGGGCTGGCGGGTTTGAATTATTGACTTTAGAGTTAACAACACCAACACCTGACTGAAACCACCACCAGGCCTCGTTGATTAGAGGCAAAGTCAAAACCAAATTCACTGCCACTGAGTTTATTATGACTTGAAATGACCCTATAGGACAGAGGAGAATATCCCTGTGAGTTTCTGAGGCTATAAATCTTACCGAGAGCAGAAAGCATCATCTTTTTCCCATGGAGAAGCCGGTGGGTTGAAACTGTTGACCTTGAACTTTGCAACCCAACACATATCTACTATCCCACAATGGCTCTTTGACTAAAAGAAAAGCAGCCCTCCGTGTTCTTGATGTGTCCTCAGTACGATTTAGGAGAAAATTATTACATGATAAATACTGTTTGATACAGACAAAAATACATGATTTTTTGTTCCCTGTACTCATGTTGTCTTAGATAGTCTGATGAGGCCGAGTCCATAGCAAAATGGGGTCCATTGTAGATGTTTTTGCTTCATGCCAGCATTAGGTAGATTTCGTTCTTTAGCACTGGGCAAGTACAGTGGAATCTATATTTTTATCAACATCTATTCACAGAGCACCTTCATTGTTGGGTATGGGACACTAGACTACGAAACTAAGGGAAGCGCAGTATCTTCCCCCAAAGAGTTTATTAACTGTTGGCTAATAAAATGACATCTTTCACTCTACTGGGCACTGAGTATGGCCTAATGTTTAGACTGGAAGCCCTGATGGCTCTGTGGGATAAGAATTGGGCTGCTTGCCACACAGTCAACAGTTCAAAGCTACCAGTTGATCAGAAACCCTATATAGGATTACAATGCATGGGGATTGACACAAAAGGATCTCGGACAGCACAGTGGATTAAGTGCTGGGATGCTAAAGATTGGCGATTCAACTCAGGGAAAAGATAAGACAGGTTGCTCCTGTAAAGAAGTGTATAACCTTGGGAACTCGGAACAGAACAGTTCTGTTCTGCGCCATAAGATCACTGTGAGCCAGAATCCACTCCGTAGCAGGAAGTGATTTGGATTTAATGTCTTCAAAGGAAACCTGGTGGCACAGTGGTTAAGCACTTGGCTGCTTATGAAAGGAAAAATCAATAGGTAGAGCAACACCAAAAATCAGTCGAATCATAGAAGAAATCAGAAGGAACAATTTAAAAGTTCCTAGAATGAAGTGAAAATGAAGACACAGCACATAAGACCCTTTGGATCACAGCAAAAGCAGCACTCAAAGGGAAAGTCATGCAGGAAATGGCTAAATTTTTCAAAAGTTCAAAATTATTAACTGAAAACTTGAAAAGATAAAGAAGAGCAAAGAAGCCAACATCTAGCCCAAACAAGAGAATAAATAATATAAACAAAATAGAAACCAATACAAAGAATCAACAAAACTCTAAGTAGGTTCTTTGAAAAGATCAATAAAATATAGGAACCATTGACTAAATTGATAAAATAAAAACTCTTGAGACACTGCACCAAATTAAGAAATTAAGTTACTCACAGCAACCCTATAGGACAGGGTAGAATTTCCGAGACTGTGTTTATGGGGGTAGAAAGCTCCATCTTTCTCTTGAGGAGCAGCTGGTGGTTTCAAACTGCTGACCTTATAGATCACAGCTCAACACATAATCACTCTGCCCTACTAGATGTGTGTGTGGGTATCTATATAGGTATATATGTGTGTATGCATATATGTGTGATTATATATAATTATATATAATTCTATTTATATATAATATCTCACTTCAAGCTAGAGATATCTCCCAACTGACCACTTAGCCAGAGACCGATGGTCCCAGATTTTGTAGGCTAGATGGCATACTACTGAATCAGAGATTGTGGAGGCTGACAAATCCCAAGATTGGCAGGCAAAATGTCAGGCTGCTGGCTCAAGTCCAAAAAAAGGTCAGTTGATAAGCAGCCAGATGCTGGATCCAGGTTAACCAAAAACCAAGAAAGCTTTTCTGGAATGTTGAAGTATATTCCAAATCTGCCACACCCCCAAGGAAATGACATTTCAATTTGTTGTCTGCTCATAGCAGATATTATGATAAAAGTGATTATATTATGTGAGTGCTCATGATAGGAGGTGACTATCTCATAACTTTTACACCATTTGACCAGCCAAATTGTTATACAAACCGTGATAGTTAAGTTCTTTGTCAACTTGGCTAGTCTGGGATTTTCCTGTGATGTGATCTAACAGCATAATCCACCTCATGATGGGATCTTCTGTGAATAGCTAAGCAGTTGTAGGAAGAACAGCGTGGAGTGCTAACTCTTTAATCTGATCACAGCCTGGATACAATTGAAATCAAATTTCTTTGGGGATTTGGCCCATTCTTAATAAGGTGACACTGTGGGGAAGCTAACTGTTCACCAAAGAAGGCATCAAAGCAAACAAAAAAGATGTTCATGATCACTAGCCATTTGAGAAATACAATAACAAATACAATGAGAGACCATTTTACCACACACCCCCAAATAGCACTGATTAAGTGGATAATATCAAATGTTGGCTAGCCTGTGGGAGATTTACAGTCCCATTGCTGGTGGGACTATAAAACATTACAACCATTATGGAAAACGGAATGGCCACTTTGCAAAAAACTGGAGATAGAATGTGCTTATGATCTAAAAATCCCATGTAACGGCAGCCCTAGAGGACAGAGTAGAGCTACTTTTTAGAGGTAAATACACTCACTCTCTTCCATTGAGTAGCTCTGACTCATGGCGACCCTGTACCCTGGAGACCTAAAGAGAATGACACAAACATATGTGTGCATCCATGTTCATGGCTGCTTTATCTGCATGGCGAATGGAAATAACGAGTGGATGGAGGGATAAGCAAATTCAAGATATACAAACCTGGCAAACTTAGGATGCATCCAAAGTCAGCGTCAGTAAGAAGTCATTAGAAAGATGATGGCCTTTGTCTCCTCCCCACGTGCCTGCATTTACAAATGAGAGCATTGACACGAAGTTACTCTGGGAGTAACACCCACATCATCCCTTGTCCCTGCAAGATTGCTTTCCCTCCTAGAACTAGTCTCATCAGAGACCAACACACGGTGAGCAGGGAGATGGAGATGATAAAGAGCCAGGTCCACAGCTCTGGCCACATTTGATCATTTAACTCGGATTGTAGGAGGCTGGGCAAGAGACTCCTAGGGTTTTGAAATGGAGTGGCATGTACCAGTAATGAATCCCAGTCGTCCTTCATCGTCATCATTGTAACTGAAAACTACAAGGGAGCTGGTTTCCTTATGGCAGTGGAATTCTATCATTGTTTAAAATGAGGCTGAGGTGGGCCGGGCCAACTCAGAATTTACAGCCTGTGTGAAGAAATGCCTCTGTTGTGGCTTTATTGATTTTCTGTTTACTTCATTTTATAAGTGAGTAGAGTTTTCCTTTTTTAAAAGATAATCTCAAGGAAACAAACAAAAAAGATGTGCTGCTGTCACCAGCCCATCTCAGTGGAGAACTGTAGATGATTAGGAAAGTCTTCTCCATCCCTACGGGCCAGGCTACAGACAGTGTGGGCATCCCATGAAGGTGACAGATATGCATCGAATGCACTTTGCAGAGGGGTTGTTTTGATCATGACGAGCATGGCCCGGGTCTTTTTACACAAAGGAACCCTCTCTGTATGCATCTCCTTCCTTAATTGACCTTGACAAGGAAGAGCCATTTTGCTGTGTTAGTACCCAAGTGTTTTGAGGGAGCAGTACTCAGTGAGGTCCCTGAAGATATGGGCCGTCAGCTTTATGTAGAAGTTGTTTATTGTTTCAAAGTTTTAGTGAACGATAGATGAATGGAGCTTGACTGGCAACTCTTAGAAGGGAGGTGAATTTTCTAATCATTAAATGTGTGTATTCAAATCAGTATAGGGACAAGTCTTTGACTTTG